TTTTTTTTTTTTTTTTTTTTTTTTTTTTTTTTTTTTTTTTTTTCCAACTTTTGAGTGATGACAAATAGAACCAGTACCAACCTTCCTGCACAGGTGTTTATGTGGATATAAGTTCTCACGTCTCTTGGGTTTATGCCTAGGAGTGGAATTTCTGGGTTATATGGCAACTTATTGGTTTATTTAGCAGAAAGAGATCTAGCGTTGACCTTCCATATTTTTGTCTATTATTTGTATCTCAAGGTAGTATATTTCAAAAATGTTTCATATTCTTCTCAGTAGCTTTTGTTTTGTTTTTTCCTTTTCACTGTTGTTAAACAGAAGTTTTGGGGTTTTTTTAACACGTATTCAATCATCTCTTTCCTGGTGACAGAATCCATTTATTAGTCATCAAAAATGGTCCTAACAGCATCTGGGATTCTGTTTCCCGCTATTCTTTAGTAAAGTCAAACATGTTTTTATCATTAATCCTCTGATGATCTGGAGCTGATTTCTCATTTTCTTTAAAGGTGACTTGAGAGAAGAGGCGGGTGGTGAGGTTTTTTAGTGAGGTGGAAGCAGTGGTGATGAGGAAGATTTCCAGAAGAGCAAGATGACAGCTGCCCTTTGTCGGCTTTGCTTAGGGAGCTCCTGGCAAGACGACGGAGGCAGTGGTGAGAAGGGACAGTAGTCGTTAGTAAAATGTCACTGTGATAATTGTAACTTTAATGTTGCAAAAGGGTCACTTTTAGGGCAGGCTTCTGAACCTGCCTGTCTTGTGACCTTCCCAAGGTCCACACGTTCTGGAATTTACTTTTCCTTCATTGCCATCTTGTTTCTCCTTCTTTTAAAGGAAAACTTACTACACACTAGGATTGTAAGGGATGGTAAGAGGCTGTATGATTTCCAGTCGTGCTTATCACATTGAATCACTCTCTTTCTGGATTTCAGAACTAACTTTACAGTCAATTCAAAATGTCAGTTGATTTGGTGTAGTGGATATAAAAGGCAGGGAATGTGCAAAAGTCATGGGTCTCTCTGCCTCCGATTTGGGACTCTCGGGTTTGAGATTTGAGCCGTAGACATAGGTCTGGAAAATTAGATGGTTGGATCCAGCTGCAGAAAGTTCACCACGTATTGATATAAGGCAAAAACAGGCTCTAGGGCTTGTGACGCTCTT